AGGAAAAATTTATTAAAAATAGATCGCCGATTAAAGGGCGTAGCAAGAAAGTGTATTAATTTTATTAATAAATTTTTTCTTGGTTATCCGTTTTTTGGGAAGGTTTTCCATAATCCATAATTCCATGCCCTTCATTGGCTTAAATTGCCAGTTAATGCGATCATCCTTCAAGTAGTTCTTACATGTTTTCGCTTCAGATACTCGGTAAAGATTCATTGTCTTGGTATAGGTTCACTTTTCAAGGTAGGAGTTTTAGGTTCGTTCTCTAAGGAACGAATGTTTCTGGTGCACCATCCGTTAAGTGGTCCTGGAATGCTTTTTTAGGTTCAAAATAAGACTAGACCTAGACCTATTATACGTAGACTATGTGTAACTAGCAGAGGAGCCAGAATACGTCTGAAAGAGCTAAGTAAAGCTTCATGGATCTCTTTCAGTAGTCAGAATAATAGCAATAAAATTATTTTACAAGCCATATACAAGACTTCAACGCAAATTGCATTGATTAAGTGACTATCCAGCGTGGTAAATATTTATATGAATATTTTAATTACGCTATTGTCCAGCCATTAATATTAATAGGCGCGACTAAAGAATTCTTACAAATTAATCAAGTGCATTCAGTTGGCATATTGACAATGTCCTCGTATTCATTTCCCCTCGCTAGGGGCTTCCGTGCGGTCGCTGTTCGATCGAATTAAAATTCATTAATTTGCCGCATTAAAACGGCATTAATTAAATACCGAAATGGTCAATGGGTGAGATGGACCACTTAATGGTCATAATTATAGTTTTTCATAGAACTCAATTCAGCAATTTTGCTCGATTAAGTTAATCACTGATTCAAAAACAATTACTCGCAATCTGGACAAAGAGGTAGCACATTTCTAAGCAGTTTGGGAACAAAAGCCCATCTTACCACATTTACAAAACAAACTAGAGCCACTTTGCATGTCTTTGCAACATTTAGCAATGGCCTGCATATAATTACACTAACTCGTACACCCATACAGTCATGCATATACACAATATGTCGTTGCAACTCTGCGCACTTCCGCTCAAAACCTTCCACTTCCGGCCAACAGTGCTTCGAAAAAGTACACAACTAGCCAGAAATAGCCAAACTTTATCCGCACATTGCATGTGCCACGCAAATGCAAATTTTATGTACTTGCATTCCTTTTTTCTTCTCTCACGGGTTTAAATTTTATAAAATTAAATGGAAAGTACGAAGAGACTGGAAAAAAAAGAAAAAGTGTGCCATGGATATTGGGAAAGGATCGCATCGGTATCGGCTCGGGCCGGGCATTATCGCCCTGTGAGTTATGGCGTCAAAAAGCAATCAATTTTTAATTTTGCGTTTAATTAAAAATGCAGGCGGGCGCAATTAAAATTATACCATGCATTTAACATACGGCGTTGTCATGGGCAACGGCACTGTCGGCGTAGTCGGTGCCACGTCGAAAGTTAGTCGCCGCTTAAATGACAGTAACCAAAATCTGGTTTTGTTGCAATCAATCATGGCCGGGTCGATGGGTGGCCGTTGCACGCTCAGCATCATCGGTAATTGGAAATAGGTGGCATCGTCATCGTGATTGCGCGGTCGTCCTGTCCGCAGCAGCTACACACACGGACACAAGGACATATGAGCACTCCACAGATACAAATACAGATACAGCCATAGACACAACGATATATGGAAATGTTGCAACTGCGTTGCGGTTGCGGCCCTTGAAAGTTGGCCGCGGACATCGTAGCGTTCGCAGCAGTGGGTTTATTAGCATGCCTCGGTGGCGTATGAGTGATATTTCAATAATGAGCATTCAATAAATTGACAATAATTATCGCTGAACATCATATAACCAATTTGTGTCGCATCCGGGTAAACGATATGTGTTTGTATGTCCTCGCAAAAGGTGAAGAGTGGTCCGAACTGATTACACTGTCAAGTGGCAATGACAAATATTGTTCGATTGACAGATTAAGCCAATAATGACAGCCAACAGAGCAAAGATTTCGACCACAGTCAAATCACTTGCCATTAATTTTATCCACGGGTGGTGAAAAATTTGATTACCCGAAACAGGGGCACGTCTGCCGGCTGGAAATTATACGGACATGAAATTTAATCATTCTAATTTGTTAAATTTATGAAGTTTATGGCTAGAGCACAGCAGGCACAAGTGCTAACAGATTTTTTTTGGGGGCTTTTAATACACTTTTAAAAACGTATTTTGCATTTTATTTTTTAAATTTTATGTACATTTAAGGATCAACTTGGGGGCCTGCCAATTTCCATAAATCGCTTACATACTTCAATAAGCTCAAAGATTAATATATCAGAGAAGGAAGTTTTTTATTCAACATGGCTTTCCTTTTTATATTTTCCTCTTTTTTTTTCTGCGCCGGACTACCCACCAACATTACTTCCTCCCAGTTGGATTTCATGACGTTTTCCGCAGTGGCGGTTTTTTCTCCATCCTCCAGCTTCAACTGCCTTTGTTTTCCGCGCACATGGAGCTTAGGCATTTCCCCGGCTACGTGCGGAAATGTGTCTAAATTGTGTGTAAAAATTTCGCCATCGCGTTGTTATTACATTTTTTTGCGACCCTCCTGGTCGGTCACAAGATGGGGTGACACCATATGGCCCCAACAGATAAGGCTAAGTAATTGATGGACATGGCCAGCAGACGGACTGGCTTTTGTAAGTGGTTCACTTAGGGGAGCCAGGCGGCGTCATTGCTAGAGGAATCGAAAATGAATTCCAAAAAATGGCAAGTTTAAGAGGCCTTAAAGTTTTGGGGGAGAACTTAACTACAATTGGTCTTTCTAACTTGAAGGGAAATCTGAAAATTTAATTACCTCTCCCAAATAGGATTGCTGCAATCCAGTCTATAACTTTTAAACGTTTGCAAACCAAGGCCAATTATGTCCTACCGTTTCTGGGCCCACCGCACTATAGCTCCCCAGGCGCCCCACCAACCTCGAATAACATTTTCAATTACCATTTTGGGCAACTCAGTTAGGGCCGCACCCCCTTATCCTTATCCTTCCAAGCCAAGTTGAACTACGAAATTGAGACATGTTGTTTGAGTACATTTTGTGGTTTTGCCCTAGTAGACGGACATGGCTGGGGGAATTTTCGTGTTTTGTGTATGCAATTTTAAATGCACATCGCAGCTCGGCCAACCGATTCCAAGACTTCGACCCAACTGGACCAGCCGGTACCCCACTGGGCCCGGTCATGTAGCTGTAACGAGCCGCCTTTGTTTGCTAAAAACTTATCAAGGCTATGGTCTGGGCAACTGGAAAGCTGGGCAGCTGGAATGAGGAGTCCTGGGTAAACAACAAGCAAATGCCTGCAATGATGATCCTGCAGCTGTCTTCCTCGGCATTGCTTTCCTCCCTTTCCTTTACTATCCTGGCCAATTTTTATACAAACTGTCGATTCTGGGTGGGTGTCTCTCTCTCTTAGTTCTCTATTCCGTTGGCTATTGTCCTGGCAAATGCCTGCCGTGGGATGTGTATGTACTTTAAAGGTCCTTGCCGGTCTTGCCAGTCACTTCCACATGATTGGGCAATTCACAATCTTTTTCATATGGTCACCCCGACTGTGTTGTCTAAGCCGATGACTCAATTAACTGCCAAACGTGCTTTGCAGGCTGTCAGATGGAAATTCTCGCAGAAAGTAAAGATATCTGGAAGCAATTAGCCCACATAAGCAGTGTGGAAACTTGTTCTTTAAATATTAAATTTTTAGTCCGTTGCCTCGATTCTTACTAAATGGAACGTGCAAAATCCAGGGCCAGCAAAAAGCTGTCATCGAAAGCAGAACAATAAATATGCGCTGCTCATGATTAATGATTTGCACGCACAAAAAAGGCACAACATCGCCGTGCCAGAAGGACACCCAAGTTCTGGCCAACTTGAGGGCAAGAGCAAAAAATAACAAAAACAATAATAAAGCAGCTAAAGCTAAGAGCAACAACTACTCTGTTTGGCTTTGCGGGCAGTGTAGCGTGTATTAAGGGAATTAAAATGTTATTATATAAAACAAGAAAAGCAAGCTTGAGAGGCGGTGGGTCAGCGTAGGTCATCGGTAGGTGGATGAGATGAGGTGAGGTGGTGCTTCCCAACAAGACACGATGGCGACGCTGTTGCCACTGATCCAGGATAACGATGTGATAATCACACCCATCACAGCCACTCAGACCCCTTGGCATATGACAGACGATGGTCGAGAGAAAAGCCCGGTCGCTCGGTCAGATAACAACGCCAGGTGACTTGTACATAATTCCACCAATTTTCCCAAGGAACTTAATTTTACGCTTTTGAATTTCCGAAATGAAAACTTGGATCCCCGACAACCTTTGTCTGGCTTTAATAAGTTTGCTTAGTTCCCCCCAAAAAAGTCAGGCACTCAGCTTGTTTTATTTTCTTTTTCAAGCTTTTCTGAAGTTTATACAAGCAGCCGGTCCTATGCCATTTTAAATCGAGTTTTTTTTTTTGGGTATCCTTTGTTTAATATTGCTAATATTAGGACCATGCTAGTCCTAATATTGGCAGTCCTAATATTGTATATTTTTCCATTTTCCGACAATGCCCGAGCCCTTCAACTGCATTGTTCCAAGGGAAAAGTAAAACTAGTTTGCAGAATATCCTCTTTAGAATTTTAATAATAATTTCTTCTTGTTTTTTTGGTGCATGTTTTAGTGACATTTGGCTAAAATTCCTAAGCCTAATTGAGCAATTTAAAAAAACCGAGTGGGAATGGACAACTGTTTTTAATAGATAGCAGATGCATAATTCCCAGATTTTGGAAGAGATGGCTTGAGTTCTAATCTGAAAGGAGGGTCAGGTTTCCTGGTTCCCTCAAGTTCCCTACCAACAACTGCTCATTCCCAAGACGTGCGATTAATTGTAATTTGGCTAAATTTCTGGCTGCCTATAAAGGCACAGGTCGGCCATCTGCACATTAATAGTCGATTCTTGTTCGAGGCAGAATGCAGTTCACAGATTATCTGAAGTATCCTGACATAGCATGTCGCTGGTCCTGGGCCCGTCGCTTGGAGTGGCCACGCCGTGGACACGAGAAGATTCCGTTTGAGAAATTGCAAACAGTTTGTTACTATCTCGGAAGCTTTTTTATGGGCTATCAGAATATTGGAGGTGTCGTGTACTGGTGCCTCTACGCCCTAAAGGCCAAGGATGCCACCACTTTCATAATAGAAACAGCACAGGTTTTCGGATCCCTAATGCTGACCTGTGTGGGCTTTTCGAAAATATGGTGTTTCACCCGGCGGCGAAACCAGATGGAAGATGTAATGGCGGAACTGCATGAATTGTATCCCACAACCAGGAAAGAGCATTACCGCCTTCAGCACCACTACGATTGGGCCGATCTAATAATGAAGTATGCGAACTTGTTCTACTTTGCGTTCTACATATTCTATAATGGCTCCCCGTTGGTGCTGCTTCTGTGGGAGTACATTACGGACGATCAGAATCTGAGTTACAAAACGCAGGCCAACGCCTGGTATCCCTGGAAGGTTCGTGGATCTGCCTGGGGATATGCCTTGGCTATATGGGTGTCGACTATGGCTGGCAATCTGGGAATATTCTTGACCCTCGCAATTCTAAACATTCTCTGTGTCTGTACTGTCCAGCTGGTGATGCACTTTGATGGACTGGCCACTCAACTACTCAATCTCGATGCACGACATCCACAAGCCCATCAGGAGCTCAAACATCTGATTCGCTACCACCGCCAGCTAATCGATATTTCGGATAAAACTAACGAGATTTTCGACTCTATATTCCTGACGAGTTTGATTTGCTCTACCCTTGCCATTTGCATGACTAGTGTGGCTGTCCTGCTTCTGGACCTGGCCCCGGCATTAAAAAACATCAATGGTCTCTTGGCGTTCCTCGTCTACCACTTTATGCTGAGCTACTTGGGCACCCAGATCAACTTGGCGGTATGACCGGTATTATGCTACTTTAAAACTAGATTGAAAAGTCTTTTGTTTCAGAGTGAAAAAATTCTGCCAGCAGCCTTCTACAACAATTGGTACGAGGGTGATCTCCCTTATCGGAAGATGTTGCTCATCTTGATGCTGCGAGCCTCAAAGCCTTATAAGTGGAAGACCATTAAACTGTCAGAAGTTTCGATTTTAAACTACGTGGATGTAAGCTGATCTTTTTTTTATAAAAGTTAATTGATCAATTAATATTTTCGTTGTTTTTACAGACATTGAAGACTTCATATCAAATGTATGCCTGCGTGCGGTCAATGAACTTACAAGTTTAGAAGCAAAAATATATTATTGTTTAGTGAGAATCTAATAAATATTAGAGGAATACAGTAGAAAATATATTTGATTTATACTTTAATGAGCTTAACAATAGAGTGGGCATGACCCAAATGCAAAGTTAGAGCATATGGAACATAAAACCCATGTATGATGTTCCGTTCTGGTTTATTTGTTTATTAATTTCCTTTATTTTTGTGTCAAGCTCGTAATGATGATGCCGGGGAACTGACTATGGGGGTTTTATGTTCCTCGTCTATCGCTGCTGATATCAGCAGACGAGTGACGCTCATTCGGCACTCCATTTCCGGCGGAAGTGCTGCTCGCGCGGGGGGCAGACATTTTGTGTGTGCTCTGCCTGCATGTTTGAGCATCTGAATTGTACTTGGAGCTTGTTTACTTCTTTGTTTATGACCCGGCCTGCTCTCGCCTCGTTTACGAGACCATCCTATTGCCAGTTTTTATTGTTGCTTTTATTTTGCGGTCTACTTGGTTGCGCCTCATATGCTCCTTGCCCCGGGATATGCTGTTCTGTCGTAGGAGCCTTTTTGTTTGCCATTGATTTATGGTTTGGTGATTCTGCTCCTTGCGCGCTGGATTTACTGTTTACTCGGTTGGCCCCGCCGTCTCATCAAGGTTTTGTTGCGGTAATTAAACTCTGATTGGTTTTCAATTGTTTTTATTGATTGGCAGTTGGCAGAGTTGGCACTTCTTCCTTTTAATCGGCGCTTCTGTTGATTCGCAATTAGCCACCAAGCGTTGTGAATCGCCGTCGCGGGTCTGGTCTGAGTGACTTAAATTTTAGTTGAAAACTCGATTTGAAGGCACGAAATTTATGGACAACATCCAGGAAAGACAAACAAAGGCGAAAAAGTTGGCAGCCACGGCAAATCTCAGCCCGGTGCAGGCCAATTGCCAAAGGACTCAAATCGAGCGGCAGCTGCGCGTAATGGACAATTTGAATTATCCGTCCGTCGGTGTTGGCCAGAATCGGAGGAGTGTGAGTAATAGTTTTGGCAGCCACCGCCTCTTTCGCTGGCCTGGCTCCGGGATTTATGGAGATGCACGAGCCAAGGGCCACTACATCGAGTCTCGCACTTGGCAAGGGCCACAAGCAGTTCCAGTTCCACCGCCACATCCACATCCATCTCCTTCGTCCTGGACGCTGACAAGTGCAAAAGTAAAGCAAAATTATGGCCAACTCGACGACTCGTTCGCAACTGTTGGACTTATCGATCGACCGGCTGGACTGGCCGTCCAGGCCGCCCAGGCCGGGCCTTTTAAACTAATTAAGGCCCGGTAGAAGGAACAACACATGCTACTAATTTGCGAAATTAACGTGTTTGTTTTGGCCGCACTCGAAATAAATTACCCAAAGAAAAGCAACAAGAAAAAAACTCAAATTACGACTACGACTGGCCAAAAGGTGAGGGCAATGGCCATAAATTCGCATCGAAAGCGAATTCCTAGCTGCAACTTTTCGCTCGCCTTGTTTACGCCCCAAAAAAGGTTCGCCATCAGAGTCCTTTCGGGGGGATCCCTGAAATTATAGCCAAGTTGGAAATTTATGTGCAGCTCCATGGAAATTAAACGGCTTTAGCACAGCTGCTCGGACTTCCGGTTTCCTGAGGCGCTATCCTATTTTGACAAGGATCTATGAAAATAGTGTGAAAAATTATTGTATGCCACGCCCTCTCCGCTGCCACGCTGCCCCCGGCAGCCTGTGCATTCTAAAGCTGCTAAATTAAGATAAATGAACACATTTAGCCGGGGGGAATTTATTTGTTTTGATAAGCGAGAAATGAGTCTGGCCAGATTGTCGGCCCACAAAGGGTATGCTAAATAAATCTTCCAGCCTGAGCGTATGTTTTGAGAGTGAAATGCATTAAAAGGATAAAGTCCTGTTTTAGCTTTTTACCACAATTTTCGCTTTGGCTTTGGCCAATTTACTGAAAGCCGCCCGACAAAAAGCCGTGTCCCAAGTATTATGATTTGGCTACTTGGTCAACTTTTTTAATATGCCCGGAAAGATCAACAGCCAAACAGGACTCAAGTCCAAATGACTTTGGCTAATAAATAAAGTTTTGCGATGGCCAGGTAAACACTCGGCATGACCCACAAAAAGTTTGTGACCAAATAAACCGAAAGCACCGGAAACCAAACAAAAAAGATGAAATAGTATGGCAAGTTGAAGAAAGTAGTTTGGGGCCAGAAATTGTTTGCCGATGTTGCTTAGATTTTTTCTCCTGCAATTCTGCAATTAGTTAACCTATAAACGGAAAGTGTTGCATATGAATTATGTGACCACAAAATGCCAACAAATTGCCGAGAGTCCGGTCAACGAAAATTTATGAACGAGATAAGGAAAGAGCGTAGTAGACCATGGAGGTACTCTGTAAATATAAGTCATGTAAGGTAAGGTGATTTTTGAATATTTAATGTCTGAGATTTCTTAAAATATATTATATTATTTTGAAATTTAAAGACCTCAAGAATACTGGACTGAAATGCCTTTTATGTTATTTCTTATCTTATTTGGAGAAACACATTTTCTGGTTTCTGTTTGTAGGTGGCCAGAATGTTGTCTGAAATGCTTTGGCTTAATTTATCTTGTTGTCAGCCTGGTTGGCAGCAACAAATGCAGCCGCAATAGTTGAATTACTCACACACACGATCCTTCCGAAACTTGCCAGGTGAACTTCCTGGTGAAAGTGAAACTGGGTCGCAAGAAAGTTTCCGCCCCCTTTCGTCTTTCGACTTTCGCCTTTCTCCTTTCCAATTTTTTTTTCATAGGGGGGACTTTCAGATAAAATGGACACACCCTATGTGCTTCTCGCTTTTACTTGGCAGCGAGGTGCGAGAATTCTGGGGTAGGGTGTGAAATAAAATGAAGAAAATTGCTGCCTACTTTCGGGCGTTTAGGTGGAACGAGAATCGGGCACCAAAGATGGCCAAGCAATTTGTTAGCAGGTCGAGCAGAGAGCGTCTCACTGCAAATGTAATTTACTGCCAGACGATATACGCAGGGCCACCGAAATATTTTGGCCGAAATTTATTTGCGGCCACTTTGGCAAAAGGAAAACTAAATGAATTTTAAGACTTTTTCCAACCGAAAGCTAAAAAGTAAAAGTTAAATTTCAGAAAATAGTCCCTTTATTGTAAAAGTATTTGAATGTTAAGCGACATACATATATGTACTTGTCAGCCTTGAAAAGTAGTTTGTTTGGGAACTTTTTCTGCTGTCTAGACGGCTCCTTGTCGAGACGTCATAAAAAGTGGCAGTGCCAAGATGTTTTGGAGATTTCACTGAAGACAATAATTATATATACTTATTACTGCGCTTTTGGCAACGCAGTAGGAACGGTCTCCTCGAGTTCTTTTAAGTATTTTCTGGCAAACTCGATGCCCTCTTCGGCGCTTTTACGTAAAATGGGAAGAAGCTTCGCCAGGGCCTCCATTTCCATCTCGCTCAACTGCGGCATATCCAGGTAACGCTTGACACCGTACTGTCCCAGTTCCACGTTACTGGCGAAGAAGGGTGCCTCTGTCAGCTCCGAGGCCACAAAGGCGCACTCGACCACGCCCTCGTGGCCGCGAATTCCTCGCAGGAGGGCGTCAACGAATTGGGCTCCGGCAAAGGCCATCGATAGAGTGGCCGATCCACTGCCGGCCTTGGCTTCCACTACCTCGGTTCCCGCCTCCTGGATGCGATGGACCATTTTTTCGATTTGCTTGTCTTCATCCACGTACTTAGGCTTACAAGTGGAGATTAGTGGCAGGATTGTGGTTCCCGCATGTCCGCCAATAACCGTGATGTCCACATGACGGGGATCCTTCCCCATGGCAGTGCCTATGAACTTCTTCGCTCGCACCACATCCAGAGTAGTGATACCAAAGAGACGTCTAGGGTCAAACACCCCGTTGGCCTTTAGGATCTCCGCTGCCGTTGGAACAATCATGTTGATGGGATTTGTGATGAAGGCCAGAAGAGTGCCCGGACAGGCAACACTCACGGCACTGGCCACCTTTGCTGCCACAACACCGTTGGCGGCCATCAGCTGCTCCCGTTCCATGCCTGGAAGACGGGGCTTCCCCGCGGCCACCACCACTACATTGGCTCCCGACACCGCTGCCTCTAGCTCGCTCTCACCCACAAAGCTTGTCACTCGTCCCGGCATGGAAATGTGCGACAGATCCGTAGCGATTCCCTTTATCTCGTTGATGTCGTGCAGGGCCAGTTCCCTGATTCCTGCATTCTGGCGAATGAGAAGCGAGAGTGGCTGCCCAATTCCTCCACCGGCGCCCACTACAGTCACCTTGTAGTTTCGGGCCAAAAGACGCCAGGGGGAAGTAGATGCGACGAGCGTGGATTTTAGTATTCCAAATAGTATCATTTTGCTGAGAATGAAAATCCTTCAAGATGGAAGCTATCAGGTTTTGATTTGCCAGTGAATGGCCTACTTGTTATCATTAAACAATTTTACTCGAATTACCTAATAAATTCACTCTAATCAAGTCCTATTTGAGACCAGTGTCGTTCGGACTTAAAAAATCATTGAACAAACAAAAAAATTCAAAATTGTATCTACGGATCTAAGGAGTACCGAACATGATACTTCTGCGGGCCTGTGCCCGCCTTCCCAAGGCACCGATGTATGTCTGTGGGCGGCAGCTGGGTGCGGTTGATCTTTGCGGTTTGAGCTGTCGGCGTGGTCTGAAGGTCACCGTCGTGGGGGCGTCTGGTGGGATTGGCCAGCCTCTGGCCCTCCTGCTAAAGTCCCACCCGGATATCGATATCCTGGCCCTACATGACCTCCGTCACACGGCCGGAGTGACGGCGGATCTCTCGCACATCTGCACCAAATCAGTGGTTAAAGCCTATGAGGGGCCAAAGAACCTCAAGGCAGCCATGAAGGATGCTGACATTGTGGTCGTTCCGGCAGGACTGCCACGCAAGCCTGGCATGGCACGGAGCGACCTCATTGGCGTTAATGCTTCAGTGGCAGCGGATGTGGCCATCGCAGCAAGTGAAGTCTGCCCCGGAACCCTATTGGCCTATATTACCAACCCGGTCAATACAATCGTCCCCATTGCTGCAACCATCCTGAGGGCCAAGGGCACCTACGATCCCAAACGCCTGTTTGGAATAACCACCCTCGACTGTGTCCGAGCCAAGGCCTTTCTGGGAGAGGCCATGAACGTGAATCCACAGTGCGTGGAAATACCGGTGATCGGTGGACACACAGGCACCACAATCCTGCCCATCATCTCTCAGTGCAAGCCGGAGTTCAAGGGCGACGAAACGGAGCGTCTGGCATTAATCTACCGGATCCAGCAGGCGGGCACTGAAGTGGTGGAGGCAAAGGCCGGTGCGGGATCGGCCACCCTCTCAATGGCGTTTGCCGCCAACCAGTTTGTTTGCTCCTTGATCAAGGGTGTCATGGGCAAGGGCGATGAGGACATTGAGGAGTACGCCTATGTCGAATCGGACGTCACAAAAGTAGAGTTCTTTGCCACTCGCCTCAAGCTGGGACCGCAGGGCATCAAGGATAACCTCGGCCTGCCGGAAATGAACGAGGAGGAGGAAGCGGCACTAAAGTGCTGTTTGCCCGAGCTCAAAAGTAACATCGATCTGGGGTACGAGTTGGGCGAAGAGTTCAAAAATAAAGAAGTCAAATGATAGTGCTTACCGAATCTTTGGTGAATGCAATAGTTTTCGAGCTATTCTGTGTTTTTTAAAAAATATATTCTACAATAAAAATGTATTAATAGTTTTATAAAACTTTACTTCCATGTTTTGCTTAAAGAAGTCTGAGGAAAAGCTAAATCAAAGTATTTTAACCCTAATTTAAAAGAGATCTCCTTTAAGTTTACTTTCCAAGTTTTTCCTCAGCCAAATGTAGAGTCCCGGGAATAAAAACCACAGACGCAGCTGGGGACTCGGCACCAAAGAGTGCCAGGCGGCAGGCGCTTCATCACCAAGTCCTGCGGAGCCGCAAATCTTTGTGGTCTCGTCTTAATGGCTAAGAAATTGTGATTTATGCCTCGAGATTTGTACATTTAGCCAGTTTGCTATACATATATGTCTTTCTGTATGTGGCAAAGTACATTTATAAAATATTTGACTTGATGAACATGCTTTAGTTTCAGCTGAGTAAAGGGTTTAAGTACACACATTTAGCCAACTTGCTAAAAGTTTGTCATTTCGGATACATAAGTTGGCAGACGGTTCCTCGATCTGGAGCATTCATTACCTAATTAGTCGTGGATTTATTATCCAGTCGGCCCAAGGTGGCCAATTTAGTTTCCATGTTCAACTGAATTACATTAATTGAATTTAGGACTCGACGTATTTTAGTTTCCTTTGCCGCTTCTTGGCAGGGTTAGTGGTTTGGGCCGGAAGGCAGGTTCCTGATGGCAGAAAATTGTCTCAGAGTCGACAGTTTCATTGCTGTCGACACGAAAACTTTACGTTTTTTGGCCTGTAAGCTCTTAAAAGGCTTATTGTGTAATTGGATTCGTCGTCGCCATTGTTGTGGCAAGGTCGGTGTTATTATTTTGTCACTACCTTCAAGGAGGTCCAGTGATTTAGTGCCAAAGATTCTGTGGGTTTAATTATTCTAAGTAGTTGGAAGAAAAGTTTTCATTTGTAGATTTTTCCGTTTGTACTTAAAGAAAGACTTCGAGTGTACGTTTCTTTATTGTTGGCAGGCTATTGGCTGGCATAGGCTGGCAGTAATTTACAGAAATTATACATGACCACTTAGGTTGTCATTAACGTTAACGACCACCAAACCAGCCAGGCAACCCGGCAACCAGGCAGGCACTGGCCAAAAAGTGTGTCGAGGCATTATGAAATGTTTAACAGCCTCGTCTGAGGACCTTCGGCAAGTATGTGTGCAGTTTTTCCTTCTTTTTTTTCGGCTGGCGGCGGTGTGGCCTCCTGTCGACGGCTCTTGGCAGGAGCAAAGTAGAAGTCCTGGCCGGGTAATCCAAAATTAATGGCCTGTCAGTCATACTCGTGCTACAATTTTAGCCCACTTTGGGCCGGCTGGTCGTGGAGCTGCAGCTACAGCTATGCGGCTACAGCTGCGATTCAGTCTTATAGCCGCTCGTGTACTACATCCTTTCTTTGTGTAAATTTCCGCTTTCCGTTTTCGGCAAAGTAGACCGAGAACGAGCTTAATCGAAAACGTATGAATGCAGCCGAGATCCTAAGAGGCCTGAGAGGTCTAGAGATGGCACCTCGATTGAGGTAAAGAAATGCACTCACGAGAAATAGTCATCTTCTGAGCCATATTTTTCCACTAAAATAAATCCCTCTCCTTTTGAATGAATTATAAAATTTTAATTGGCTTACAACGTTTGGTATTCACGATCTTCATAGCCCCCGTCTCTAGGCCAAAGCCACAGCACTTAAGCGCCTTTCGTGTTGCTCCTCTTGACTGTGCTTTTTGGCCAGGACCATACTGTGGTTAGAGCAGCCAAGTTATTACAAGCGCAAAAATATTTTCACTTAAGTAGCTGCCACCATTTTGCTCAATTTATTTCCAACATCAAGCTCCCATTCCTTTTTTTAATTTTACACACAATTTTCGTGTAATGTTTGGCTTTCAGCTCGGCTCCTTTCACCATCAACCTCCTGCAATCTGGCATGGTTTGGAGAAAAAACTGCTTCGTAATATTAAATTGAATGTTTTTTTTGAGTTAAATGAAATATTTTGTGCTCCTCAGGATGGGACAGGCAGTGATAAAATATATATGATGTATTTATTGTGAGCTTTCATTTGTACCACATGCAGATGCATATGAAATTCCACTTGCAAAAATCTGTGCAAATTTGTTGGACACTTGACTGCTGCTCATACATGAATATATTTGCTGTGGGCGGTTGCACCTTTTTTCTGGCCATTTCCGGGTCAACGGGGCGAGCGCTTTCTTTTTGTCAGTCTCCTGCCCAAAAATGAGACCCCTGGGAACGAATGGGTTTCACAACAATTTCATATTTTTTGCTTGACATCGTATCGTTCTGGGAAGCACATTTCTGTGAATTTTGGCATTAAACGATGTGTAAAAACGTTTGCAATTTTGGTTAATTGAATTGTTGCATCATGCAATTTTATGGCATCTGTTGGGCCTCTTTTTGGGGAGCATTTTCTAGAGAGTCTAGCACGATAGTGAATGGAAGTTCTAATAAAACTAGATTCATAAACATGTTTCTTATTTCATTCACCACTAGTTGCTCATTACCTACCTACACCCATAGAACCTTCAGTAGAGAAAGTGTTTAAGAAACCCTCGTGTACGACCTCTGATTATCTGTAAATCAAATGTAATGAGATACAGTTTGAGCTAGGATTATAGTTACACGACTTACACGAAACTCCCGGGGGAGGTGGTCAGGAACGAGTGGTTCCTTTTACGGCCCCGGCGGAATACGAAGTGCTGGCTTTGTTGGAAATCGGCTCTCCGGACATCCCTGGGATTTTGGGGTCGACGGCAAAGCGAGTGACCCATAAAATATCACGTATACGCAGGCCACATGGCCGCAGGAGGGCGCATGATGAACTAACACGAGCATATGTCTTCCCCGTGTGTGTGTGTGTGTGTGGACGCGTTTTATGATTTGTGGCACAATGCCCAAGCAGCAGCTGATTGTAAATCTATGCGGGCCTCGGTCTCGGCCTCAGACCCCAGCCCTCGGGTCCCAGGGCCTCACCTCCTCCTCCTTGGAAAGCCGTTCCAAAAACCTCCAGTGCGGTTATTCAGTCGGGAGACCGGGAGACCGACATGAAGAATGAAATCGTTTAAAAGGAGTGCCGCGGGGAGAGTGGTCAGGAGAGGGATTATATTCGCCGGGGTCAAATCCTCTGCGGTTTTGCAAGCTGTCGCCTTCATCTTTAAACTTTAATGGCCAGCCAAAAGTTTTCGGCCGAATCTAAGCTTAAGTCAACAAAGACTTGGGCACGTCTTGGCCACAGCCAGATGCTTCCGCTCTAGCGGAAAAGCTCCCACTCCCCGGAGCAGCTATTCTCCCAGCCCTCCCCCGTTAATTCCCAGTACGTGTCCTGTTAGCGAAACGTTTTCCAAATATTTATTTATTATTTACTCTCGTCCACCTTGTTGGCCTTCAAGGAAGCCGGCAGAAAAACGCTGAAAACCCCCCTAAAAAAATGTGGGACGGGCGAAATTTGATTTAGCTGCTCTTTGACATCGGGTCTTAGTGGCTCTATTTATCTACGTGACGTTTTCGAGGCTCTTTAGCTAGATAACAGCTGAAAGCTGTCAAACATGGCGTATACTTAATATTAATTACTGTAAACAACAGAAAAACTGAGTCCCCATAATGGTCGTCTGATAATCTTGGTTATATTTTCTCAGTTTCCTTTTGAATGGAAAGATTTGTTCGATAAACATTGTTCGAATAATGAAATTGATGCACTGAAAGAAAAATCCAGCCATATTTAGTCTCCAAAGACTAAGTAAATGTGATGTTATTGTCCCTTTCGGTCATTAACTAAATTACTTAAGCGGCTTTCTGCTGAATAATGCTCGAAGTAAGCTAATTACTTATAATATGACTCTTATTGTTGCCCTGAGGTGATGAAAGTGATTGATGTTGAGTTAAAGAGAGACTTTTTCACTCACTTCTTTTCTCTCAGTGCCAACACTTTCATTTTGTCTAAGTGAATGGCCAGACAGAAATCTTTCACATGCATTGAAGGCGTATAGCATGCCCCACCACTTGCAATTAACACTAAAATTAATTCATATTAATTAAGGCTCATGGCCGGGACCAAATGAGAACACACTTAATGCCCGGGGGCTGTTAGCTTTTATGGGACTTGAATGAATCGAGGGGGCGGGGTTCGTAGTACTGACCTCAACAAGGCAAATGTAATAAATAAGAGGAAAGGAACAACAAATTGGTTGTTCGAGGGTGGTGGAAATGGGAAAGCCCTGACCAGACATAACAACATTCATTAATAAGCACAAACGAAAATTGCGGCCCAGCTGGATATGGCTAGAAACCAAAGGCAGAAACAAGAACAAAACAAGAAAAAAGCCAAAACAACAAAAAAAGTGAAGGCAACAAAGCATAACGAGAGCACGCATAATATTAATAACATTTAATAAGTTGTTGGAATTAGCTGGGGTCTAGGCTCGGGTAAGGAGGTCCTGGCGAAAAATGATTTGGTAATTATGATGAATTTTTAAAAATATCAAATGCATGCAAACATATTCCACGCAGACCCTCAATAAATGTTATGCCAATTAGGCAAATTCCCAGTCATTAAACTAATTAAGCCATTGCAGGACCATTAAACCAAGTTGAGTTCAACAGAACCCTAGAAAGTCTAAGGGTTCTGCATAACTGAGGGTTCTTTCTGCTACAGTCAAATGGAGCTTAAACATTTTCACACTTTTTTTCGGTGTCAACCTGTTTTGGACTTTTCGCTGCATTTCCTGACAGGTGAACAGTTGTAACTGATGTCACCTTGACATCAAGTTTTTTATACATTTTTTTGGCACAAAAATGCAAGTAACCTGAACAAAAATAATGCAACATTTTGGTCCTTATGCTGTAAAAAAGTTTATAGAACAATAGGTGTCAGAAAATGGAAGAAAAAACAGCTTGAGAGAAGTCATCAGCAAACCTAGATATTTCAACCATTCCCT